GTGTTTGTGAAAAACTTAGCAATAATTATGTAATTTATGTCTCAACTGATAACTTATGAGTGTTTTCAATGTTATGATCTTTGTTTCCAGTTGCATCTCTTTTCTTACTTATTTACATGTATTATTCACCAGTGCTGGTGGATCACCGGTGTCCATTCTTTGCATGCTGTATCAATTTGTACACCTGGTTAGGAGAGAGGAAAAGAGACCCTGGTTCCTGATCGCAGCAGTAATATGCCTGTCTCTTATGCACATCTTCAGACCCACAACAAAATGATGGTTTGCCAATATCTTAGTTGGGATGGTTTTTATCATTATAAACTATAAACAAAAAAAAGTATTGTGTAATCTGAATTGCAAAACAAGAAACTTAATTATAAATATTATCGGTCTCTTTGCAAATCAAAATATTGACAATATCCCTTAAAATAAGCAATTACAACAAAAAATAAATATATTAACTCAATTTAGGTATTTAATTATTTAACCATACAAAATGTCCACCCAACAATAATTATATGGTGCTTTCTTTCCTTTGACTAACTAAAAGCCTTCATTTAGAATTAAGGTCAGGAGTTCAAACCTAAACTAATGTCTAGCACTCCTGACGTACCAAACAAGAATGAATGGTTGATTCCCACTTTCGATTTTCCATAGTAATCGAACGTAAAAGTTACCAGCACGAAGCCATTAAACTTAATGTTCCTTTTATTAAGTTACTAGGGAATTTCCTCACCTAAGTCCCTGTTTATATTGCTTTCTTCAATAGAGTTTTTCCAAAAGAGGGGCTAAATTTCTACTTCCCACTACCTAAAGAATTGCATGCGTGTTTGACATCATACAACAATCAGCACTAAGCAACTCTTTTCTTCCATACTTCTCTTTCTCCATTATTCCCGATCTTATCCCAAGTTGGTCTCAATCGTTTTCATGCATTCCTTTCCGGCAAAAAAAAATGACATTTCTTCACAAACCTACAACTCTGCCATTTGGAAAGGTTCAAATTTAAGGCCTGCTGAAACTACCTATCCTTGCCCTTGTTTCTCCAACTGGACCACCAACTTGTCATAAACGACTCTCAATTTGAGGGCCTAACTTAAGTTCATAAATTAGTTATATGATCACAATTATATCTATATATGCAGATTGAAAAGGACACTATCCACTTGAAGCCCAATACTTTAAAAAAGAAAGACAAAATTTTACAGTTAAAAATGTTAGAGGGCTTAAAATTCTGATCTTCTAGATTACTCAAGAAACATTCTGGGTTGAAATCAAAGTCTTTTGACTCTCTATTTAGGAAAGAACCACTTGGAGTTAATTTTATGCATGTTTTTGTGTTAAAGGAAGAAGGATAAGCAATAACAATTAAGAATTAACAACTGCCCTTATGGTAACAATGAATATGATGATGAAAAAAAAGAGGATAACAGGATAGAGATTTCTTGATTTACCAACCTTACAGGAGTGTTTAGGCAATCTTGTTTTCCTCGTTTTTACCGTGGGATGCTGGCAATGTTGCAGATGTGGATTCAATGATAGTGCTGCATCCACATTCCAGAATGGCCAAACACTTTCTGGTCTTGGTGGTCCTACTGGATCTTGGCTAATCTTTGGTTGTAAAAAAATTGGATCCTGTCAAAATCCACTTACAATCCAAATGCTAGGAACACGTGTCGTCTGAGCTGATTCATTTATCACAAACTCAATGGGTTAATTCATAAAATGATATCAATAGACACACACACAGGGTAACTATCATGTTCTACCTTTGAGATGTTAAAATGGATGACTGAAGAAATGCTGATTACTTTGAAGTCCAGCTTCCACGCCAGCTAAAATCAACCTAATGGGGTCCAGCAGCTCCAGAAAGAGGTGAGTGGCATGTATGTAATATTATTGGTATTATAAGGGCATTTTCATAACCAGCCTTCCTTATATACAGGTCCTCTCTGCCTCCTGAACTGATACCTTCAACTCAGAAATTCTTCTTTCATGCTAGTGATTTTTATCATGTTAAGTAAAAACAGGTAATAGCCATGGGGAATTGCTTGGTTTTGCAAGACAAGCTAATCAAGGTTATGAAAACAGATGGAAAAATCCTGGAATATCAAGCACCCATCAAAGTTCACCAAGTGTTGTCAGAATTCTCAGGTCATGCACTGTCTGAATCTTTTCCAGGCTTGCAGCATCTCCTGCCAGATGCAGAACTATTTTCCGGAAACTTATACTATCTTATACCTCTTCCTTCATCATCCTCAAAGGTCAAAAAGAAGGTGAGGTTTTCAATTCCGGAGGTGGATGATGAACAAGGAACTGGTACTGTGAGGATTAAGCTGGTGATCAGTAAGCAAGAATTGCAGGAGATGCTTCACAGAAAAGGACTTTCAGTTCATGAGATGATCTCTAAGGCTCAGAGCAAACAACAAAGTGAAAGCAAGACTGTTATGGCAGATGGTGATGATAATTGCAGAGGATGGAAGCCTGCATTAGAAAGCATAGTTGAAGTAGACTAGTAAAGCATGTATACCATAATAAATTAAAAACAAATCACCATACTTACTTTGAATTATCTTTCTTCAGCATACCAAATAGACATGCTAATTATAGATACTAAAATGACACTTGTTCAACTTGTTCTCACAAAAGCAGCAAATTGTGAGGATGTTTATTTCATAAAATCACGGCCTATAACACCATTTTTGCTACTACTAATATGGGTTAGGCCACATAGTGGTGGAGAAATCCAAGAACATCGATCTTGCACAAGATAAGTCAATACTAATGGAGAATAAAAGCCCCATCAACTCAGAAAATATATGTTAGAGAGGAACTAATTGAATTTCCAAGCAACAATCAATCTTAAAATGCTTTAATATCATACTAGAGTATCATTATCCTTTTGCCAAATGACGTTCTGCACCAAACAAAGGTATGCTAGCATTTTGTGCAGCAAAATTATTCTATTAGAGAATGCCAAAGCAGTGAAGGTGATGGAGAAACACAAGTAAGCCACTCAATGTGCTTGTCCCCCTGCCAAGTCACTAAAAGAGAGGTTTTTCAAATGGACAGTCACCAAAAAAGTCTTGTAAAAGAACAAGGAATGATAACAATTTTTGCACCTATAAAGCAAAACCTATGCTAGAACTAAAACTACTCCTGAATCATATGCATAATAAGACTAACAACTTGCATACCCACCCATTTTGTGTCCATAATAATTGTGGTTATGATGGTGTGGCCACTGCTTCAACCATTATGGTATTTTAGTGCTAATATCCATAATTAAGATTCATTTAAAAGATAAATTGATAACAAAGTCAACTTGACCCAGTAATATTGCACAAATCAGTGGAAGAAAAACTCGGGACATTGTTCATTTATGTGTGTCAGGCGTGAATCATGATAAGATTGAGATAGTGTTAGAAGCTAAGACAGTGTGGCATCTTTATTTCCTCCATTTTTCCAACACCATCCTGAGACAAGCTCTTGAATTCCTTCATTGGAAATCATATGGATTTTTAAGAACATCAACAATAATCAAACCAAACTTCAGAAGAAGCACCTCGAATGGTCTTGCAGAAATATAATTAATTAAGAAGCAAAAGCTGATCTTCATGGTAAATGAGCAGTGAGCACATGAACAATCCAAATTCCATGCAGTAACCTCTCAGAAGATTTTTGTAATACAATTCATCTCATTTTGGTTTTGGGAACAAATTAAGTATTGTTTTTGAGTTTTTTAAGATACTAAAATCGAAATCAACACACTTATGAATGAAACAGGGATATAATTCTAAATCAAGATGGTTTCAAAAGAGAAACTTACACGCAGCTTCCAGTTAGTTAACTACCCAGATGGAGGCACAGCCAGTGAGAACGCTCCATTATGTCATCCTCACATCAAATGGAGGTCATCAAACACAAATGTAACTCCAAACAGGCTATTAACAGCATAACAGGAGTTTCCAGGAAAAAGAAATAAAAGTTGTAATAAGCTATAACATGCATAGAAATTGGGTGTCTTTAGGTCTGTTTGTCAGCCTCCACACCGAGTACGCAGGCATATGATTTGGATGAGCAAAAACTACTCTAAAGTGCCCTGTCACATCCTGTTTAGCTACTCAAGAAATACTTGGCCTGTTTCTAATTTAATGGGATAACCTACAATAAGATGAGAGGCAAATTGAGAGAAAAAGGTAATTCAGATGTCATAATCAAGGTTAGAAGTTAAATAATGTTATGGTCATTACAATTTGGGATGGTAGTTACAAATGTTCACCATAGTGGTATAGTGGTATAATACCCATGTGAGCTAGGAGGCTGAAACAGAGTTCTTGTCCATCTAGGGGGTGACACATTCAAACTCCATTATCAGCAGCATTCCCACCATGAGGTCTGATCGTTGACTGGAATGCTATCATAAGGTACTGTAATGGTCTTCAACCTAAAGAGCCAGATCACCAGCACAATAACTTTGTTTAGCTTTGAAAAGTAGGGGGCCAACTATGCTTATAAGACTTCTATTTGGGGATAAAAAATAAAAATCATAAAAATGGATTGCAGACAACACCATAATGCATGTGAGACTATCATAACTAATTGCTTTGGTCCTTAGAATTGAAAAGCTATTCCAGAAAGTGATAGTCTTTGCCCTTAAAATCCTCTCATCTAAGGGCCATTGTGCTCGTATCTAACCCAAACCTGAAGAAAAGAGGATTCTTAAGTAATTATTTTTAGTAAGTGTAGTTATCATTAGTTTTCCTACTTTTATTAGGATTAAGACTTATTCTTAGAAGTTACTATTTTTATTTATCAAGAATCTAAATCCTAGTTGAATTAGAAATTTTAAATTTCAAGTTGTATTTCTAATTAGAATAAGATTTATAGTAGAAGTCTTAGTAGTTTCTACTTCTTTCAATGGTAGTCAATCCAATATTCAGAAATTTGCAACAAGAGTTTTCACCTGAGATTGTCAACCTTAGGTGTGATGCTTAATGAGTCTTCTCTCTTTAGGTGACTCTTAGGATTCTCTATCTTTCCTGTTATTTTGCTAATTCTACCCTAAACAACTTCTAAATCCCCAAGCCCACCATATCTCCCAACCTGTTCCGCATCACAACTTCTACTGCCTGTCATCTTTCAGGGAATCTCTCTTAATGGTGATTTCCTTCATCTAACTTCTTCATCAATAACACAATCTGATCCTAATAAAGATCACAAACAATGTCAGCAGCCATAAAGATGTCCTTTTTGGAGTAATCAAACAAACACGTTTATACCTCCAGTTACCGCTCAGAAGTTAAGACAAACCTGACAAGACAATAACTGCAATAACTTCTCTCAAAACTCCAAATTCCCTTATTAGGACTCTTTGATTAACTCATGGAAGGGATAAATTGTTGAGTTTAGCCGTGACAGCAAAGTTACACATGTCCAGCAACACTTTTGAAGTTACAGCACGGTGACTGGCTAAAGTAATGAAACAGGGCAACTATTGCTTAGTTAGCTTTTTGAATGTAACTTAGGAAATAGGCTGTTGGTTTTGAAGTTCAGTTTGTATTGATATGCTGCCCCTTTTTTTTTGTTGTTGTTTACTAATATGTCATACCATTGGCTACTTACAAGGAGACAAGGTAGCATAACTTTGGAAAAAGTAGAAGTCAAATCTTAATTTTTCATTGTAATTTTTTCTATGTACAAAAGGTTGAATTAATCAGAAATGCCGAGTGTTCTGCTTGTCATCTTCCTCCTGATTCTCTCTCCATTTCTTTGTGGAAAAACCAACATAAATAATTCAACTTCACAACCTCCAACTTTCAGAAGGCGCCTAATCACCATGCTCTGTATTGATGGTGGAAGAGTCATTCCAGAGTCTGAACTTCAGGTTGTGGGCAATTGTTAAGTGTTTTATTCTCACAATTTAGCTTTTAGAAATTAATTATATAGAAATATATAATCAATTTCTAAAATTTAATGAGTTGAATTTTTAAATTTTGTATTGAATTTTAATTAAATAAAATAACTTTATTTAAGGTTGAGATTTTAGATTTTTTTACAATCGAAATTACTATATTATTTTTTCTTAAAAATTAGTGTATATCAATGTTGATTTTTAAAAAATACTAACTATTCAATCTACATTTACAAACCTATTATTATTATTATTATTTTGCTCATACATGTTGCAACGAAGAATGAACAATTGATCAAACTGATTTTTATCTGTTGTTCAGAAACTGGATGGCGAAGAAGCAAGATTGGCAGACTGCTGTGACATGACTGCAGGCACTAGCACTGGCGATCTGGGGACAGCCATGCTAACTGCTCCTACCGAAAAAAACCAGCCCTGAAAAAGACATAAAAGGATTTCTAGCTCACCCCATTGCCCAGCTGATCTTCCAGCAATCTAGGTAATGAATTTTAGCAGGAAGATTTTAGGACAATGGGTAAGGTAGAAAACCATTTTTTCATTAGGAGCAGTTAGCATGGCTGTCACCAGGTCGCCACTGCTAGTGCCTGCAATCACATCAAAATAGTCTGCTAATCTTGTTTCTTCGCCATACAGTTTCTTAACAAAGGTTAAAACTCAGTTATTTTGATCAATTGTTCACTCCTTTTGTAATATATATGATAGCATAATATGATAATAACAATAGTAATACTAATTGGACAAATCTAGTAGTAGAAGCTAAATGGTGAGAATAAAATGCCGAACAATTTGTTCATTACTTAATTATCTCAAGTTTAGACTCTAGGAAATTGAGGATGAGCCCCAATTCCGCCACCATCAGACTGGTGATTAGGCGCCTTAATCACCAGCAAGTTGGAGGCTGTGAAGGTGAATTATTTAGCCCTTCCATGAGTTAATCTATGAGATAAGGGAATTTGGAGTTTTGAGAGATTTTGAGAAAAGAAAATCCTTTCAATGTGTGATCAAGGTAAAAAAAAAAAAGAGTTAGAGAGGGATGTGTTATTAGGATTATAGGACTAATTGTTATGGTCTTACAATTCTACAATTTTTATTTTTTAAGATTATAATTTGTTTTTGTTAAACAATTGTATGATATATATTTATTTATTTATAAATTAATTTTAATTTATTAAATATTAATTATTAATTATTTTAGTAAATATTAATTATTTTTAATAATAAAATTAAAATAAAATAAATTATATATGATTTCAATAAATAATTATATGATCATAAATATAATTCAATAACTGTAAATCGTATATAATTGATATATCTACTTTAAAAGAAACAAGACTAATGTAAAAATTATAAAGAGTATTATTTTAAAATTTGTAAAGTATATTATTTTATCAATAATTAAAAAAATACAAAACTAACTTACATTTATTTTTCTTTTTCTTTAGGCTTATACCTCCCCCTAATTTTAAAAAAAAAAAAAAAATTGACACTGGCAAAATTTTTATTGATCTGGATTTCGTGCTTCGTACGGTATGTACCTTGGTATAAAAGATGATTTTCTCCTCGACCTTGGTCGCCAAGCTACCCACAAAACCGGACGTCTCAAAATCTATAAACTCCAATCCAGTCGCCGGCTGAAGGGCTGTTTCACGGTAAATCTTCTGCTACATTCTCCAAATTAAGAAAGAAAAATGGCTTCAATATATGCATGTCTCACAGTGTCCCCCACGTTTCGTCCCCTCACTCTAAAACGGCCGTTTTCTCACATGACATTCCCCGGAATCCATGCACTGGCACCGGTTATTTTTCCGGAGGTTTTCATGAAATCTCCGAGTTCTAGGGCTTCTTTTCCGGTTATAAGGGCGAGCATTGATGTGAGCAGTGCGATTAGGCCCGGGAGTGTTGTGGAGAGCGAGAAGCTGCCGTCTGATGTAAGGAAGCGAGCGATGGAGGCCGTTGATACGTGTGGCTGGAGGGTTACCATCGGTGACGTGGCCAGCAAGGCTGGGCTTAACTTGTACGAAGCTCAAAGGGCGCTTCAAGCTCTCGCTGCCGATACCGATGGCTTCTTGGAGGTATTCTAAACAATGTGATTTAGCATCCACTTAGAAGAAGGAGAAACTCCAAAGAGAAGCTAATTCAAAACTCCATATTGAAATAACTACGGCGTGGAATTTGTTCTTGTGTTATTACTTCTGTTTCTTGCTCTTTGAAGTTCTTGAATTCATATTTGCAAATTTTTTCAAGATGGGTTTAACAGGTTTCAGATGAAGGTGATGTCCTCTATGTTTTTCCAAAGGATTATCGTGCTAAGCTTGCTTCCAAATCATTTAGGATTAAAGTTGAACCTTTAGTTGAAAAGACAAAGGTATTGATCTTTGTTACTACATTTTTGTCACAAATGCTTCGTCTTGAAACTATTAATGTGCTTTGTCAGTCTCAGTCTCAAATTATTTGTCACTTTAACTAATTTGCATGTAACTTTAGGTAATGATTTATTTGGCATATGAAATGACAACTGAATTTTTTTTTTCCAATACATAATTCCTTTTTTAGTAGTTTCATTTGATTAAAAAATATTTTTAAGTAACATTCATATGCTATATAAAAGCATTACCTAAAGTTACCTTTTAAGTGAATTAGAGTGACAAATAGTTAGGGAGGAATTTTTTCTGTGCTTTGCAGGCTGCAGCTGCACATTTGGTGAGAGTTTCTTTTGGGACAGCACTCGTTGCGTCAATTGTTATTGCTTTTGCTGCAGTTGTTGTTATACTTCTCTCAAGTAAAAGGTATCAGTGGACCCTGACAACAAACTACTACTAAAAATTATTTGAGACCAGTTGTCATTGTTGTCAAAGGTGCTGACATTTTATTATTCATGTTTCATGGTAACAGTGGTGATTCCGATGACAGTAGTAGAAGACGTGAAGGCAGATCAAATAATATAGGAGTCACTTTCAACTTCAGTTCAACTGATTTATTTTGGTAATATTTTCTTGTTGGTTAGAATTTCGGGCAGTTGTCTCAAATTGGATTATTTAAGAACTGTAAAAGGCCAGCCTTTTTGGAGTTTTTAGCTGTTTGTAAGTCAGTCAGATTATTAATCAATTAGTACTGACTCAAGTTGCTCGTTAATTTTGCACTTTGTACCACTCTTTTCTACACCAGCATGAATTTTTCTCAAGTATCTCTTCTCCATGTTTATTTAACAATTTCAAAGATGCATTTTATCCATGCTCTAGTCAATGTCAAAATCATCTGCAACGGTTACCTAGTTGACTTCATCGAAGTGTCTTATTCTTTAGCAAGTTGGCAAAAAGTAACCACTCTAATTATTTGAACTTATGCTATACCTTTTAATCTAGAACCTTCAACATTCCTCTAAAAGTTTCGCCTCTCGAATTGATTTTTTAATGGTTGACAATTATATAAAGCTTCTGTCATCTCTCTTTTCTTTGTTGTTTGTTTTAGGTACTGGGATCCAGATTTCTATCTGAGTCGACCTTCTGACAGGATGAACTTTATTGAATCTGTATGTAATAAAAAAAAATTGAGATCTTGTCTTATCTTAGTCCAGTTATTTCCTTGTTCAGAAGTGAAAATATTTAATTTTATGCATGGGTTTTCTTGGTTTAGGTTTTCTCATTTGTATTTGGTGATGGTGATCCAAATCGAGGAATTGAAGAAGAAAGGTGGAAGTTGGTAATAATTGAACACTAAATTCAATGTCTTTTGCTCAACATGTATGCATTGCCTGCTATTAATACACTAGGTTACATTTATGAGATAGCCATAACTGCAGGTCTCTTTTGGTTTAGATGCTGACTTGGCTTGACTGGTGACCTAATCATAGTTGGCCATGATTTTCTGCAGACTCAGATAGTTGTAGACAAAGAATAGTAGGTAGTTTCATGTTGTTTCTAAAATGAGTAGTTTTGAAAGATTTTATTGCTTGAGGTTTACAATTGATTGTATTAACTTTTATTTGAATTATTGGAAGTCATCATGTTGGGACTTGTATCAGTTTCTGGCCAAAAAGGAAATCATTCTAAGAATTTTCTTTTTCTCATTGTACTTTTTCTTAAGTATTTATTGGATGTAATTTCAAATGATTACTCAGTCACAATGGTTTCTATTTAGTTAGAGAGAATATATTGGCATAGCAATATTAATATTTGGCCATGTTCCCTTTAATATATATTCAGATTGGGCAGTATGTAGCTTCAAATGGTGGTGTTGTCACAGCAGAAGAACTTGCTCCATATCTCGATTTAGAGACCAAAAAGGGTGTACTGGTATGTTTATGTATGTATGAATTTTAATATAATCAATTGTTAGAAAGTGATTTGTTGGTAAATCATGTTCTGTAATCAAGTATTTGCTCCAAAATCTCACAAAATATATTTGATTATTTGTTTTTTGAATCTGCACTAGAAATTAAATTACCTATCTTTTCTCTAATCTGTGAAAGAGATACAATTGCCCTTGTTTGTTTTTCACACCACCTGCAAAAGAAATAGTAAGCCAATTCAGTAGATCTTTGATGTGTGTTGTTGCAATCCTAGAACTTGATCTCTCCATTTGTTTTTGCTTCTTCTGCACTTGACACATAACCTTTGTTCTCTTTCTCCATTTCTATTATGGTTACTTTAATTCTTAGCACCTAGTCAGCCAATTCAGTAGATGTTGGATTTTTTCCGTTATTTTTGTTGCCATCCTAGCACTTAATCTCTCCATTTTTTGTTTTCTTCTGCCCTTGACACATAAACTCAGCTCTCTTTCATCATTCCTATTATTGCTATTGTAATCCATACCTCCTAGTCTTTCGATTTGCTTCAATATTTCATTCTTGGTTCTCTTTCACTACTTCCCTCTACACTTAAATATTCTGTAGTACCTTACCTCATCATCCTAAAATCAAACCCATATTTTGTGCTAAGCTAGTCTGTTTTGAATCTTCCTGAAGATTTTTCGGGCGATTATTTAAGAGCTTCATTGCTAGCTTGGATTCTGGTGTTTCTGGTGTTTCTTCTTTAAGGAACCATTTTTTTTTATCAGTGAAGAAGTTAGTGCTTAGGTTCTTTAAGGATCCATCTGAAATGGTTCAGATCTTATTCCAAATTTTCTGTTTTCATTATTATCATAATTCTTTGTGCGTGTCTGTGTCCCTTTTACTTTTCATTTGATATTGTTAACCAGCAACTAAACTTGTAAATCTCAGTTGTTCCAATGCTTTTTGGGACATTTGATTCTTACCCTACATTGATGTTATTGCTTTTTCTGTCCATTGTATGCTGTTTGACACATTTCTTCTCATAACCTTTTTGTTTTAGAGCGATGAATCATACATCTTACCTGTTCTTCTGCGGTTTGATGGTCAGCCAATAATAGATACAGAGGTATGTAGAGATAGTATATGTACATACAGAAATCTGAAGAATATCAATGTCACTGTTAAATGTCTATTTTATTTAGAATTAAGAAAATGTAGTATGAGATACCAAAGGTTGTTTTAGGCTTTAGCTGTATCTCAAGCATCTAGGATTATGTCTTGACA